GAGAACATTGGGAAGCCGTCAAGTGGATATTGAGATATCTCAGAGGTACCTCAAGAACATGTTTATGCTTCGGTGGTGGTGATCCTATGCTGGTTGGATATACCGATTCAGATATGGCAGGTGATGTTGATTCCAGAAAGTCCATTTCAGGATTTCTGATGACTTTTGCAGGGGGAGCCGTGTCGTGGCAGTCTAAGCTGCAAAAGTGTGTTGCGTTGTCTACCACAGAAGCCGAGTACATTGCGATTACAGAAGGTTGCAAAGAGGCTTTGTGGATGAGGAGATTCCTAGAGGAACTGGGCTTACACCAGGAGAAGTATGTTGTGTTTAGTGATAGCCAAAGTGCTATCCACCTCTCTAAGAACTCGTCATTTCATTCGAGGTCCAAGCACATTGAAGTGAGGTATCACTGGATTCGAAACGTTCTCGAATCAAAACAATTGCACTTAGCAAAAGTGCACACGAGTGAGAATGGTGCAGACATGATGACAAAGACTTTGCCGAAAGAAAAGCTTGAAGTATGTCGGCGAAGAGCGGGCTTGTTGGAGCCCACCACTTGATCCGGAAGGGGAGTTTGTTGAGTCCGGCCCAATTATGGTGGGCTTGGATTAAATAAGGGCCAAGGCCCATTGTCATCAGAAATTAAAATAAAAAAAAAATAGGTTTTATAATCTGCTTGTACGCAGACAAGCAAGAGTAGAGAGAAATAAAAGTGAAAAACACTACCTTTTCTTTTATTCCCGCAATTGCACTGCGCGGTCTCGGAAAAGCGCCGTTTCCCGGAGATTGCACCGTTGGATCGTCACCAAATTTGGATAGCAGGTTCATAACTTCTTACTCTTCGTTTTGAACGGTGAAGATCGGTTTTGGAGCAGTTTAAGGCTGTCTGTTCGTAAGTGACGTGAAGGGAATATTTTGGGGTGTTTTGTTGAATTGTTTCTTGTGGTTTGCCAAGATCTTGTGTTGTGATCTTGAAGATTGTTGTTTGCCTCTTGTTTGATGAACTAAAGAGGATTTCGATTGTACCCATTATCGGATTGAATAGTGGATGATTTAAGCGGCCTACGGTCCCGTGGTTTTTTTACCCAATTTGGGGTTTTCCACGCTAAAAATCTAGTGTTATTTTATTGCTTGCTTGATCGTTGTTTGGTTGCTCTTGCTTGTGGTTATTGTTGTTGTTGATTGGACTTGGTGCTTTATTATTCGGTTAAAGTCGTCATTGTATTTGGTTGCTTTAACCACAACAGGATTGTCGTCAATTTCATGAAGAATCTTTGTAAGAGGCAAAGTCAATCCTACATGCGGTCATTGGGTTTTTACCAGTGGATCACACACTTGCATTGGTGGGTGTGTGTG